GGTAGAGGGAAAAGCAAATAAATAAATGTACTAGTAGGACTGAAGGATACACAGAGCTCAGTCCTGTAGCATAATCCAGTAGCAGCAGACAGAATTTCCCTGAGAGGCCTCTCCCTGCAGTGTGCCGCTGGGCAGCCAGGAGGCGCCCCTGAGTCCAGGAGCAGTACAGCTCACATGAACAAAACAAAACCCAGTCACCCGAAAATATACAACCACTTTAAGCTCTTTCACTTTGTGAGGTTGTCATTTTGTTCAGTTGTTGTTTTCATTATTTCTACTTATGGTACATGTGTTGATGTAGGTGTCAGGGAGATATCAGGGTGAGGGTGCTGAGGGCTGTAACTCCTGCGCTGCGCAGGTATTAGCGTGACTTTTTCTTTTTGCGAATGTGTACAAACACCTGTTATCAAAACTCGATTACATCAGCAAGTAAAAACCTTTAAATACCCCAAATTCGACTAAAAACAGGGATTTGGTCGCCAGAATATCGTCTCTCCCCTCACTGGTGTGTGTGGACTGAATACACAGTTTGCCATGGTTGAGCCCTGGACCTTCGACAGTTCAGGTGTCCAGCTGTCCTCTGTCCTGAACATATTTATTGTCCCAGCCGGTCGACACTGGAGTGTTAGTATAGCTGCGAGTTTCTGGGCCTCCAGCGCACAGATGCCTTTAAAACCTGTGTGGAACTGTCCGCGTCCTGCAATAGTTCTTACCCTTTCAAGCAGAGGAGCTGACAGCTGCTTCAGACTTTTCCCCCTTTCCTACAATAAATAAATAAATCCTTGGCTTGTGAAAACTGACTTTTTCAATTATTTTTATATATTTACTTAGTCGTCCATTTCTCCCTTTGGACACACGTTCTGATCGAACAGCCATCAGGATTTGACTCCACTCTCAACCCAGTGCTGTTCCCTAATGGTGTACCCTAATACAATACCCCAGTGCTGTACCCCAATGCTGTATAAACTGGGCACAGTACCATGCGTGCTGACTGCAACCAAGTTAGTGCATTTCATTTTTGGTTGATACTGTGTGTAGCCAATAAAATATAAACAATAGCTTTGTTTGTAATTTAATCAATGAGTACAAATACTACACCACTGAGCTCGAAAGACCTCATAGCAGTAAAATAACTCACAATTCGGGAAGAAGGGAGTACAATACGCATAAACACAATGTCACTGAGAACATTGGGCCTGAACAAACACTAATCGTGCAAATTGGGTTTTGGCCAGGATGTGTTTGGATTTTGGGACACAGAACAGTCAGATGGTTCCGGCGAGCAGCCAGCTGTTGTGTGATGTCATGTGATGTCATCATTACACAACAATGCCACCAGCACTGTTACCTTCTGCTTCCAGGAGGGAACTGTCTCAGGGTCTTCACCGATGGCAATGCCGAACACTCAGTTTTGAAAGGGAGCCGTCAATGAAGAAACAGGCCTGGGCTCTGCACCTCCTGTTCACCTCCATCTCTGCAAAGCTGCAGCTGCACATGATGACACCTGCCAAACTCAAGATCAGAGGCTGAATTCAAACGCCCAGCAATAGGTAGTGATCCCAGCCCAGCTGATGGGAGAGGTCACGTGTCCTGCAGCTTGAGAGTGTCAGATAGCCAGTATGGACCCTTTCCCCGCCGACGATCTCCTTCTCACCAGCGAGTGTGAGACCACGGAGGAGGAGGAGGATGGACAGCTGGACGAGCAGGAGGAGGAAGAGGAGCAGGAAACGGTGGGGTGGGGCCTCCTGCCCGAGGTGTGCCTGCGCAGGGTGTTCTCGTTTCTGCAGGACTGCGACCGGGCGCGGGCCGCGCTGGTGTGCCGCCACTGGCTCCGCGTGCTGCACGCCCCCGAGCTCTGGCGCGCGCGATCCTTCGTCTTCTCCGGCCGCGCCGCCAAGTCCCGCCGGGCCGACTTCCAGTCCGCCGTCTGCTACGCCAAGACGTTCGGGCGCCACCTGGAGACCCTGGAAATCCGGTTCACCAACCCCGTCAACTCCCTGACCTCCCGCAGGTTCCAGCAGACCCTGAGGACCTTCCTGGCCGTCTTGAGAAAGGACAACAGCCGCCTGAAGTCCCTGTCCATCTGCTGCATGGAGCTGGACCGCCCGGCATGGTCCAGGAGCGTGAGGAACGCCCTGGTCAAGAGCCTGAGCATCTTCCTGCGCAAGGCTGGCCACCGCCTGGACAACCTCAACCTGAGAGGCGCCAGGCTGGGTCCTCTTCAGGGCTGTGAGCTGCTGGAGTCCATCGCACACCAGAGTGGGAAGAGCGCGCTCTCCAAACTCAACATCGAGGACTTCTTCCCCCAGGCCACCGCCGTCTACACCCTGCCCGCCTTCGCCCACGCCCTCGCCCGCTTCCGCAACCTCTCCGTTCTCTCGCTCAGCTACAGCTGCGTCTCCGACAGCCTGCTGGAGGCGCTAGCAGCCGGCTGCGCCCGCACGCTGGGGGCGCTCCACGTCAGGTGCCACGCCCTGGAGCCCCACGGCCAGGTGGTGTGGGGGGTAGCCTGGGCCCGGCTCGTCCAGGGCTGCCCCCGCCTGCGGGTCAACTTCTCCATCGAGAGGATCCTCCACGCCGACCGGCTGCTGCGCATCCTCCTTCCCGAGATCCCCGTCCGCAGCCTCGGCCTGTCCACCTGCTACTTCAGCGAACAGGACTGGACCGTCAAGCCCGTGCTGACCGAGGTGCTGCCTCTCTTCAAGGACTGCCTGCAGGTGAGGCCAGGCCAACCACCTGACCCATCGGGTTCCACTCTGTCGAGCTCCTTCTCTCCTTCCCCCCCCCAGTGCCGTACTGGCTCAGCTCACTCCCAGTTTGACCAGACTAGGTCAGCCGAGGCTGTTACAGAACTAAAAACGGAATCAACTCTCTGATCCAGTTTTCAGCCCTTTCTTCTTCTGCTTTTCATTGTGATGCCAGGATCTCTTTCAGATGCTTATTAAATCCTTTCAGTGACTCAGCACATACAGCGTATTTCATCTCCCCAGTCCCCGCTTGTATTAAAGGTGTGCTGTAATCAAAGATGTTTCAAAGAAGTCTCGGGTCTGGGAACTATATTATAAGCAATTAGTACATTGCTTATGCCTAGGCTTGCTCCTTTTCAATGGTTGCACAGCATTTTATACAGTGCTCCAAATATTGAGATGAAAAATTGACCTTGTGTTCTGAAACAATTTGTTAAACTGTTGATTTCCTGTTAATTAACGCACTTGACTTGAATGTTATGGCTCTTGCCAACCGAATGTGCTCAGCAAACAAGCGTTTGATAAAGTGATCGTGGTTTTTTCATACTAAAAGACTACAAAGGCATGTCTCCCTCCCAGTACCAGCAAATGGAACATTTTAGTTTCAGGATTTAAATCTTTTAATTAAAGAGAAAGCGAGCAGCAGATTATCACTTTGAATGGGAAAGCTTCTCTGGCCCCAGTGTGGCTACAGACCACCCTTAGTTTCCTGATCTTGCAGTTACATACTATAAAGTACCACCTTGTCCAATCGTGCCCATCAAAGCCCAACTTTAGAACGTGCCTTAATCCTGAAACATTGTATTATTGTGGAGAACCTTTAAACATGCAGAACAAGCAGTTATCTAGAAGACTGCAAT